AGCATCATCATTTGCACAAAGTGTCATTTAGGTAAAAGAAACATCAGCAGCAACCATGGCAACGGAAACAAGGAGGCAACATGCCGCAAAATAACAAAACGAAGCGTAAAACAAAACAGGCAGCAACGAGAACGTCGCAATTTGCGTAAGGCGCACAAATGCCATCAAGTTCAAAGCTAATGGCTAGGGCGTTGTGGCGGATCCCAGAATTCGTGGATAGAACGACTGGAAAGCCTTGGTGGAATCGAACAGAACCGAAAAGGGAACACTGAATGCATATGGCAAGTGGCAAAGCTGTTTGTATAGCTAACAAAAGTAAAAGCACAGACAGTTCGAAGGAGTTTGGCGCTATTGGCGTAGCTGTTATGAGGGCTGACGCTGCAGCCGAAAGGCGACCAGAAATAATGTACGCATTAATTCCTCATTTAAATTCAACGGCGCGTACGAAGCATTAGTTGCGTCAAGCTTTCTACCTCCCCACCAACCAACCACCGACACATCATCCAGCAACCCTCGAGTATCTGCTGCTGCTTTTGTTGTGTGTAGCATACTTTCTGGCACTGCTACTGCGACAATTTTTCGCATTCAAGTGCTTCTCGATTGCTTAAGAGCGAATTCCGTTCCTGGGCGAAAGTGATCAACGTCGTTTTTCATTTCTCAGTTTCTCGCAGCTGTTTCCATTTTTGAAACTACTTATGTGAGAGACTGTTGCTGCTTGAGCAGTCGGCAACTTTTTAAATTAGCATAATGCCTGAAATTATGCAGCGCCTTTTGTGTCAGACACTTAAGTTGGTTTCCAGTTGTTTCTGCTGTTGATGTTGTGCCACTTTAAGTGCACTTTGCGCCACAAAAACAAACAACAGTTGCAACAGCAAACCCAACAACAATAACAGCGCGACATCAGCAGGGGGCGTTAGCTAAGTCCAGACGAGAGCCCAGAAGTAAATCAACGCATTACACTTTGTAATGTGGCTTCCAGTGGGTACAGGGGGTGATGTATGAGTGTATGTATACGCTTCTGCACAAAGCTCTGATAATGCCAATAATTCAATTATCCGTGTTGCTTTCTCTTGCTATGCTGCTTTTGCTGTTAGTCGGCTGTCGTTTGTCTTTGGCTTATTGTTATTGCCAAACCAACTGACTTGCTGATATTGGTTTTGCAACTCCTGATGATGCACTTGTATTGAGGAGTTAATAACAGCCAGATAACAAGTAGAAGCCACACAGTAAGACGTCAATGAAAATAATTGTTACAATAATCCAAAAAAGCACAAAATTTATCAATTGCTGTGATAGAGTCCTATTTTCTTACCATGATAATAACAAAGAAGAGCAAATAAACAAACTTTGCTAACCTCAAACTTTACATTTTGTACAACAACTATTTTGTTATATAATTGTTACTCATTAGGAAAATGCTTCAGATTAGTACGTAAGTTACCCAGTAGAACCTGAAAGACAGTTGGAAATGTCTGTAAGTCTATCTCATTTTTGTATGTCTCTTTCTCCCTTTCGCATTGTTCGGCTCCTCTTGCTCTGCTTAAAAGCTTCCCCAATGGTTAAGCTTAAAGTTCCTGGTCACGATGACATTAACTGTGGCTATAATTTCATTACGTTTCGTTCATTAAAACTTTCAAAATGGCAGCCCCCAAAAGAGGCGCAAAAAATTAAAGGAATGAAATGCTGAACACATCCCAAGGGCTTATGAAGCGAAACCCTGTGGAATTATGGCTCATTAAATGACATAATGCAGAGGAACAAACATACAAACTCAAAATTTGGAACATTGTGTGATTGTGCATAGCATGCTTTCCAGCAAGTAAGCAGCTGGTTCTCAGGGTAGAAAAAGAAACCGCAGTTGATGCCGCTGCTAGCTAGCGTCTGCTAATATCTTTCTAATACACATACACGCACAGAATATACATAAGCACAATCCCAGAGCTCAAAATAAAAAAAAAAAACAAAAAGACAGTAGAGAGCCTAAGACATATGCGGCATAAAAGACTTAACAAGATTTTTAGGCATAGTCGTCGACTTTGACGTGCCTCTTAACTGCCGCAGCGTCTTTTTCAATTACACACATAATTAAATATGTTGCGTCTGTCTCTTACTCACTACGTGTGGGCGTTAAATCCCGGGGAGCGTGTGACAGCCTAGGTAAACATTACATACAGTGTGCGTATGCGTGTGCAACAGCAAATACTTTAAATCTGTCCCAATTGTGCAATGGACTCAGCCTTAGCTCATATACCATTTTGTAGATTTTAATAAACACGCTGATAATTAAATTAAATTGACATTAGCATTCTCCTTTTCTGCTCATGTCTGTTTTCAAACTCTATTTGCTGTGGGCCGAATTCAATTTAATTTAAATAGAAACGCTTTAAGTCAAAAGAAAAACTTGAGAGTTTCAAATTGTGCAAACATTTCGTGTACTTAGTTTACTTCAATTTATTTGCTCAGTATCATTGTGCTGTTAAATATTTATTACTTTAGAGAATTGTATCGGCTAATAGAAAAAAATTTTTTAACGAATATTTTGAACCACTTGAAATCCGCCTTGGTAGGAGTGGTTGCTAATGTAAAAGTAGAAGCTATAACAGTATATATTTTTATTCATTCAGTTGGGAAAATAAGAATAAAAAGTATTCGTTTAAATATTCTCAACTATTAGAAATCGCAAAAATGAGTAGAACTAAGCCAAAAAAATAAATGATGTGGCACAATGTCGTACATAAGGTGTGAAACAGTCAGTATCTTATATAATGCGAATTAAAAACCGCAATATAAGAGCGAAAACTACGCACAGAGAATAATAATTGTAACAGAAAAATAACGCTAACATGAACGCATAGGAAATTACGATTATTTTATGAATCCAACTTGCGTCATAGATTAGGCCATTTGGCACTGACATATCCTTCGTGCGGATACGCCCATATTGTGCACTTGGCCCATAAATTGCCATCAAAATGTGTGCAAAGTTCAGCAGCAAAGATAAAACCCATCAACGCCGCCAATAAATTCTTATTAAATACAAATGAGCACTACAAAAGTTATTTTGCCCAGACTTTTTTGGGGTCCCCCATCTATGCGATTGTAGATTGACACCAGCTTTCGAATCTTAGCAAATACACATATGTGTTTCTTACACAGTTCCATCTTTATTTTTGTCTTGCGCCAGAATTAAAATAAACGTAACTTGAAGCATATTAACAGAATAACACCTTAAATCATTTCGACCACCGCAAAGTATCCAAACGTAGAAAAACTTTAAGGACTGATACCTTTTTAGTCAACATTTTTTATAAATGAAACAAAAATTTATTTTTTAAATAAAACAGTTGAAAGTATTTTTTGAAATTACTGTTTTTGGAACTAATTAACTTGAAATGTTTCCCACTTAGTTTCCTTACTTCTACAGGCAGACGGCTGTTATATCAATTGGCAAGTGCCCGAACTGTGCACCCACTAAACATCAATCATTGGCCCAAGGTACTCCATTGACTCGCCTGCAGGCATTCGCGTTTGGCTTCTGTTTCTCTTTGGGTGGCCGCCATGAGCAATTTGAAAATCGCGTCCTAATCTTTGTGCTGCTCTTCGTTGGCCAGGTGATTTGTTTGCAACGCCATTGGTGGCAGAGCGCATATTTCAAAATGCCATTTCTGATAGCATCCTACAGCCTCAGTCTCAGCTCTGCTCAGCGGCATTTGCATTTGTTTTGAGTGTGTCTTGCGTGTTTTGTGTATGTTTTGTCGGAAGTGTTTAAGCAATATATCAAATTCCGAACAGCGGGCATGCATGCTACATTTTAGTTAGATTTTTGCACAAAGATAGAGCTGCATTGTCTGACTGAAGTAGTAATGCTGGCCAGGAAATGGAAACTAAGTGCAATGGCCGCACATTAATCATGGCCTGCTTCTCCGCCTCATCCCCACCCACTGAAATCGTGTTGAGACGCCAACGCTGCAGTACTGATTCATAAACCATTTATAGTTTTCTGTTGTTTTTGCTCTGTTCGTAAATCGCACACGCAACTTGCTTGGCGAGTTGAAAGGGTTAAGAAATTTATGTGTTGCAATTCTTTTTTTTGATATAACACTTTAAGTGATTTACCGAGCATGGCAGGGGTCGGAATGGAAAGTAAAATAGCAAACCTTAGCCAATGTGGAATGCGCAGCTCCAACTACCCTAAGTGTCGATCCTGCGGCTATTCTATTTATTCCAGGTCATTTAATTTTACGCTATTGTTGCATATAATACGATTTGCTAAAAGAAAAGGGTGTTCCTTTTTGGGAAAACTTAACAAACCATATTGTTGGTCATGTGTGCAATTTGCGGTGCCTTTCAGTGCTTGTCTGTTTCGCAGATCTTAACTGATCCAGGGAAGGGATAAGGATAACTAATTTTAAGACCGTGATAAAGACATTTAAATTACATGTTGCTTTTAGAATCGATGCGAAGAATTAAAAGATATACTTTGTTAATAGTTGTTAACGGCTTGTTTGTCAAGGAGTGCACTCATTGGAGATTACAACTAAGTAATGCCTTGAAGTAATCTACGTATGTACGTCAGATATTAGTGTGTGCATCATTAAGCAACACATTATTTTTTAGTACGTTTATGTAAACGTTAGTTTTGCTGAACATGTAACTAAAAGTATGCAATGTTTATAAATCTTCTGTAGAAATTTGTACATACAATTGCTTCAGAACATAAAAGATAATTCACAATTAATGGGTTTCGCTTTGACGCCAGCAGCCAGTACACAGCACACCAATAACAGAGCACAACATAACAACAACGACTGAGGTCACTAAAAATTATTTAATTACATTGTGAATTCTTCAATGTAATTTGAAAAGGCAAAATGTAGTGAATTTTGCTACCGCATTCTAAATAGCTTCTTTTAATTTATTGTGTACTTATTATAAGAAGAAATATTGTTGCTATCCGTTGTCGGGTTACTTATATTTTTCGCCTTCGATCTATCTTACAGACCTGCTATGAACTGGAGCGCTATTTGCGTGACGAGCCTAAGCTGCAGAGCTATAAAAAGATGCACACTGATCTGGACACAGCCTGGGACATATTTTCAACGCCCGCACGCCTTCTGGAGGAACTTAAAATAAAAGAGAGTCTGGATACGATATCGACGACCTCATCTGTGTCATCAAACTGTTCAGGCATATCGTGGGACAGCAATGGTTCACAGGCGCTTAGCTGTGCAGTTTTAGTTAAGCAAGAGCGCATCGACGAGGATGACGAAGAAGCAACACATAGACTATCTTGTAATGAGAAATTGGACGTGCTATTTGCAGCGCCGCCCTCAGCCATATCGCCCAATCCAAGTATCAGCAGTGCTGGCAATATGACGCCTACCAGCAATAGCAACTGCTCAAGCAGCAATAGTAGCGTTAACATAAGCAACAGCAGCAGCAACTGCAATACTATCACTCTGAGCTCAAGTAGCAGTACAGCACCGGGTATTAAAGTGCGGGTGGTACAGGCCAAGAGTCAGCGTCGTTATCATTTGGGTCAGCATGACTTTGTGCTTCCCCCGTTAACTCCGCCCTCATCACCTGAGTCTAACCTTCGCAGCCATAACTATGCACAGCCGCCACATCAGCAACTCCAGCGGCCGCAACAGATCGATGCCAGTGAGCTGGCGGCGATCCTTAAGCAGCAACAACGCCAGCAGCAGCAGACTTCAGCAGCAGCAAGTTCCACACCCGCGTCCACCGTTCTGCATTTCAGCAGCCAAACGATCGGCACCAAAAATTCCTCATTGACGCAAGCCACAACGTTGCAGCTGCAACAGCAACAGCAGCAGTTAGCAGTGCAACATTTAAGCATATCGCCTCAGGGGCTAAACAAAACTAGCAGTATCAGCAGCTCGGCAAGCAACAACAACAATAACATTAGCAACAGCAGTAGCAGCAGCACAGATCATTCCTCGAGTAACCATAACAACATTCCGCGCAGTACAATCGTGCGACTGACCACAGCCAATGGAACACCTGGAGCCGCTGGCATTAGCCTAGCACGTGTCATACAAATGCAAAACAATGGCAATGCTAATGTTGCTGCCGTTCTCAGCGCCGCTGCCAACAATGTTAACAGTAACAACAACAGCAGCACCAATCCTGGTACAACAACATCCATGCAGCAGCAATCGGCTTCACAACATCTGCAGCAGACGCCACAAATAGTTGCCGTGGTTACGTCGCTCCCTGAAAAATCAATAACTGGTGCGTATTAGAGATCATAGATTCTATCTTAATAAGTCACCGATGGGTAATCAACTCAATTCCACAGCTTCCACCAAAAATCATCACCCGCGCCAGCATCATAGCGATCACAGTCCGGATGCCAAACGACGCATACACAAGTGCCAATTTCTGGGCTGCAAAAAGGTCTATACGAAGAGTTCACATCTGAAGGCACATCAAAGAACCCATACAGGTAAGAAGGAATAACGTACTCAGCCCACAAACTATACCCAATATTGACTTTCTGTCATTTTTGGGATTCGTCAAAGTAGTAAACGCAGAAAATGAAATCCAATGCAGATTCTGCACATTACAAAAGTCAATGATAGCATTATGTCGGGAGCTCCCGACTAAAGGATACCCTGAACCATTTTATTCCAACACCAAATTTAGCTGGCGCTACGCGCTTTTTTCACACCGATAATTGAGTCTTAGTAAGAAAAAAACGAATTAAAATAGTAGCACAGAAAACAATACAATGCTGCTGGATTTGAAGCGGACGCGCATGTTTGTGTGTGTGTGTGCATGCATTCAGATATTCTTCGAATTTGCGCTGGCGCCGCAAACACGTGTTTCTTAACCGATCTTCATGAAATTTTCTACAGTTTATCTTATTGTACCATAGAATATTTGTCTATTCTCAAAAAGTGAATTGCATTAAAATTGTAATTTAAATTGGTGGGCAATATAAGTTGAGTTATTAACTTGATTTATAGCTATCAGGTAATAGCGGGGAGGTGGCGATAGGTATAAAATGATATATACTTGATATACATATATACTATTCTAGAGTAAACATATCACTTTAGGTGACTCTAGCTCTTATTATTTACCCAATTAGCTTAAAAAACAGGATTTTGACATCGATTTTTATCGATTGCTTTGAGCCGGAGTAAGTCGTCGATTATCGGAAACAAACTCGATCTGCGCATGGACTACGACTACAACTAAAATTTCAAGTCTCTAGCTCTTATAGTTTCTAAGATCCTTGCGTTCATATATACGGATGGACGGACGGACGGACAGACGGATATGGCTAGATTGACTCGGCTGTTGATACTGATCAACAATATATATACTTTAAAGTGTCGGAGATGCTTCTCTCTGCCTGTTACATTTGCAAAATTATACCCTTTCTACCCATTTTCAATGGGTTCAGGGTATAAAAACAAAGTCTAGTGCAGCGAGCGGGAAACCAAAAACATTTTCGAATGACAGAAGACGAGTCTTGAATTTCAATAAAAATCGCATAATTCAAAAATGAATTATTGGTTACACGCACACAAACTCATGCTCTGCCACACAGATTAATCCTAGCGATGAAATGTAATTTTATTGCCGCCACAGTCAGCAACAGAGATTAAAGCATCAGAGGAAGAGAAACATGTCGAATCTATTTATTTACGCCATGGAAACTTTCGCACACATACATATTCATATGCATTGTTGTATGTGTGTCTGTATTAATGCGTTACTAAAGAGTTTTGGCAACATGCACTTAACCCAGAAAATATTAAACCAAAATTAAGTTTAGATTTATCACATCGTGCATGTGTATACATGTAATGTGAACACGTTACATTTTGATAATATAAAGTTAAATGGTAAATTAGTTATTCGAACTTATAAACATTGCGGCAGCAAATTAAGTTCAGTAAGTAAATTTTTGATATAAGCCCATTCTTATTCATAAAAATCTAATTGATATTAAAATATTATTGAAAACTATTAAAGCGTACAGTTGTAATGCTTCCTTTTTTACTGTGTACCGGTGAATGAAACAGACGAAAGGATAATCACCGACCCCTTGCTGTACGCTACGTCTCGGTATACGCAATACATGAATTCAAAATAAAAAAAACGTAGTTGACTGAACGTTTAAAAAAAACCCCCCGTTTCGAAAAGTATTCATTTGAGTTGCAGTGAGTTACATCAAAGTTTTCTGCACAAGGTTCTGAGCGTAAGGTATGTGCGAAATCTAATGGTTCTGAACTAAGTCTTGCAAAATAAGGTGTTGAAAAAAAAAGTATAATTAATTAAGCTTTTTACACGGATAAAGTAGACCGAATAAATCAAGAGCCAAAGGTTTTTCATGCGATAAAAGATTGTAATATTTGATTGCCCAACAAGCAGACAGCTTTTTACAAAATGTACATTTTTCTTCCCAAAGTTGTAAAAATACTCAAAATAGAATGTAATTATTTAAAGGTCCCTATAATGACAGGGCAGCAAACCAAATTAAAGGAACATCTTAATTATTAACTTTTTTGCACAATTTTGAGCACAATTTACGGAAGAGCTGCTTCTTTAATATTGTAACTGAAATTAAATTAATTAGAATACCAATGGAGTGGTTTAAATAAAAATCGTGCGAATTTTTTACAATTGATAATCAATTACACTGCTCCGCATAAAGGTTGAAAATAAATGTGCGCAGTGCGCAAAAGATTTCAATTAGTTAAACGCTGGGGCTATTAAAACAACAGACTTGCGGGAACCCTGAGGTTCGAAATAGCTGGTGGAAGAAACGCTGTTAAGAAAAGATTACTAGTGCAATCAAGCGGATAGACGCAACCAGACCATAAAAATTGTGTTGAGTGCAAAAGCCAAGAAGGCGCACAGCGCATAAAAGAAAAGCTAAGGAATGGCGTGCAGTGAAAGGAATGCTGAGACTTCTACCCCGTACGTTGCATGTCTCGCCGGAATATTCTTTCTATTGGCTGCTGACATTAAAAACCAACGCCAGCAAAATTTATAAAATATTAACTAGCTCCCGGCTCTGCGTTAAGCGTCAGCTGACCATGCTTCTGCTGTTGGCTGCAATTGCAACACCCCTCCCTTTAACAATTTAGATATGCGCTATTGAAACTGAATCTAAAAATATGGGAAGAAAGGAGTCAGTGTACACATACATATAGAAACATATAGCGAAGGTTAAGTTTTAACTACGTTCGCTATTATAAATTAGCAAAGAGGCGACAGAAAAGAAAAAATCTCCTCGAACGGTGAATTTCGTTTTATATGACGCAATCGTTTTATATTGGATAACTCCTAACTCCTATTTATCAATTCATAGAAATAACCGCCGCTTTCCTATTTTCAATTGGTGCCTTTTTGACATATGTCAGCATCGTCGCGGTGATAACTTATTAAAAATTCTTAATACCAACATATTTGTATAACAACGAAACTGATTAATCTTATGGCATGTCCAACTTATAATTATACTTGCTTTTCCGGCGAACTAGCAGGCTGTCCGTTTTATTTTTGATAACGATTAAGTTTCGTTAGTTTACCAGATAACATGAGCAGTTTTGTGTCAGACACTGTATCTGTGTGTGGGTTTTATGGTTAGTCATGGCGCTGTGCGTGTCGCTCGAATGCAGCTTAATACGAGACTCTCGGGTCCTGTCTGTATTGTACGCCCAGTGCTTTGTGCATTTGACGCTGATTTATGCAGGCTAAAGCCGAAAAGAGACCAATAAAAAATGCCAAGTCAGTGCTAAAGCATTTCATACACACAGTCAAACTTCTTGTGTGTGTAAGTGTTTTTCAGGCAGCCCTTTTATTTATAGCCGTTACTTCGACGGCTCGCTCACAGTTCTGACAACATGCCAAAGTGCAAGTGGCAGTACGACACCCACAAACAAGGAGTGAAATGTCCCATGTTGCACCGTCGTGACGCATCGCTGGACGTCACACTTCAAAAATCGGTAGAGAGTAAACAAATGGAAATTAAGAGAGCACTGGCCAGTGGGTCGGTGGTGACTCGTTTGTTTCGTCAGGCAAGCAAGTTGGCCGCAAGTGCATAATGTGAAATTGAGCACGGAAATATCACACATTTCCGCATGCATTAAGTTTTAGGCTGTATATATATATGTATATACATATACATATACATGTTAAGCTGCTGTGGTGTGCGTTACAAAGTTATCCACTCAGCTTTATGTATTTTTCTTGGCTGTCGTCTACTTTGCCGGTTATCTGGCTCCATTTTCCACTGCTGTTTTCTACAGCGGCAACTAACTACGAAGGCAATGCCGGCAATTTCCTGCCTTTGCTCCTGTTTGTCTTTTAAACGCAAATAATTTTGCCATTTTTTCTGTACTGTGCTATGCTCGACTCTGTGTGCATGCTTAGGTTTTATACTTTTGTGTGAAATTACAACTTCTGCATTTCCTTTTCCTTTTTGCCTGCATGCCATTATTGAGCTTCTGTAACGGGCACTGGCGCTCTGGTTGGCTTTCGGCGCATTGGCTACTGTTTATGCCGCATCTTTTGAGGCTTTTGGCACGCATGAAAACTGTTGGCAAACCGATGCGTGATTTGGCAAGCAGTTTCACAGAATTCGATTTCTACGTAAATTATGATTCCCGACATTTGGCTGTTTTATACTCCAAACCCATCATTTTTTTTTAAATGTCTTCAATTTTTGCCTTCTAAATATTCGTTTGCATTTTTTAATACTTTATAAATTTTGCACACTAGCTTAGAGATTATGAACTTATTCTATAATTTTTAGCTTTCAGAAAATAGGTTATGTGATTTTTAAATAAAACCTAGTTTTAGAGCACTCGGATTATTGCACCTGCATAAGTTAATATTTATAAGTGAATTTTATTAAATATTGTTACCCCGACTATAATTCAACCATTTAATCAATTAAAATTCAAATTGACGGACTTGGTTAGCTGATAAAGAAAAACTTTTTGCATTTTGCTCCCGGTAAATAAAACAAATAATGGCACACTATCCTCTGTACCTTTTATTCGCCAGCTCTTTCGTTTCGTCCCTTGGTACGCACATTTCTGTGCTTTATCTTTTCGTTGTCTGCAGTAGCAAATATGTAAGCAACTTACACTGCATACAATATTTGATGCATGTTATCAGAGCAACTTATTGGATAAACAGATACTTGCGGTTTTACTTTGCGTTTTCATTAACTCTTTTCTACAAATTTCTGTCATTGCAGGTGAGAAGCCATACAAATGCTCTTGGGATGGCTGCGAATGGCGTTTCGCTAGGAGCGATGAGCTAACCCGTCACTATCGCAAACACACTGGAGCCAAGCCCTTTAAGTGCCGCAGTTGCGATCGCTGCTTCTCACGCTCTGATCACCTGGCCCTCCACATGAAGCGCCATATGTGAGGTGGAATCTAAATGGAAGTGCAACTGTGTGCCATCACAAGCTGCTATAGTGCTAATTAATCAAAACTCACATAACAGCACAAGCAACTGAAAAATATTTAAGAACTTCAAATTCGATATAAAATTGTGTGTTCGTTGCTGTTAGTGTTTAACGTCTTATTCCATTTCATTATCGTTTCGCTTCCATATCTTTTTGGTTTAATTTCATTTTATTGTTTAAGCATTTAACAAAATAACTTCCATATGCATTTAAACTCTTGACAAAATATTTACCAAAGCAAATTAATTTTTTTTCAGTAAAACATCAAGGAAAAAATACTGAACAAAATAGCAGTCATAAATGAACTTATAAAGCACAATGAACATATGAAAAGTGTATGAAATATATATATATATATATATATATATATATATATATATATATATATATATATATATATATATATATATACATATATTTTTGTTTTGTTTGAGCAAAAACCACAAATATTGTAAACACTGCCAAAACAAAAATACGAAAAATTTAATAATTATTAAAATAATACAAAATGTTAACATACATGCATACATATACAAAGATTTAACGTTAAGAATATTCATCGTACTGGCGTAGGTACAACAAAATACAAAAAAAAACACAAGTGCAAAATATGTTTTAAACAATAAATCAAATGCTTATATTTTCTTACATTAATTTAAATATATTTTAAATTTGTAATATAACTGTTGTAAATGTTGATTACGTGTAGTATGTATGTCGAGCAAATCGAAATGCCTAATGAATACAAATTTTTGGCACTACAAATTGATATTTTCAAAAGAAGTTTTGTTAACTTAGTTGTATTTATAACGCACACTTTTGTTTTATGATGAAAAGTATTACGAAGAATTTTTTATTTGAGAAAAGCAGAAAGCTAATTTTCTGATTTGTGACAAATATATTTTTGACCATTTTTTTTACAAATTCTTCTTAATGTGCCTCATTAATTTAAAATAATTATATAAATAATTAATTTAAACTATTTTTTATATTACAAATTTAGATGTATTCCAAAAAAACCCTTTGCTTAATTTCAGCAGGTCACAATTAACAAAGCTTAAAGTATTTACACAAGTTCCAAGAATTAACTTCTGAAAATGCAGCGGAAATGACTTCTGGAAAACATGTAGAATTGTTTTTTATTTTCCACAATGTGTGCTAATGTTTTTGTTAGTTTTTATGTGCTGCCTATACTATAATGGTCCAATTATTTCGTTTATTATTTGATTATTTTTAAATACTTGTAACAAAATAAATATTATGAAAACAAGAGCAAAACGTTTTTTATATATTTTTATTACTATTAGAAAATGATTCTTATTTTTCTTATTTATTTGCACGACAAAACAACACGATATCAAGGTATACAACATGATCGAGCATATATATTATACATACGGCATTATGGTTTGTGCGAAGAGATATTCTGTGATCCAGAGAATAAGAAATATCTATGGAAAACAAACGGAAAAGTCACCTACTATTATATACATTGCGTTGCCGTCTGTCAGGCGTGCTAGAGTTTGTAATGGAACTCAATTATAAGGTATACGTACACACTTATAAATATGCCTTTCAAAGTTGTCCCATGATTTCTAACATGATTCTCAATGATTGTGAAGTGAGATTAATCACTTTTTTGAAGGTTTGTGCGTGGCTTGTGCTATGTGTCATCTCAATGTTAAGAATTAATTATAGTTTCAAATAGGATTAAGAAGTTACAAACTAAAAGTTCCCTTTAAGATCATATTATTAATAAAAACGTACAATTATACTGGCTTTGAATTTCCAGTATCTTTTTCGGCTTCCATGCGAAAAAAAAAACCCAAGAAAATGCACTGAAAATGGTTATGATGTTGATAACACAACTATATATATTATTCAAACCCAACAAAACAACAATGTGTACGATGTGTCAAAAAACTTCAATCAGTTTACCAAAACTTTTAAGAAAGATTAAAAACCAAGCCCAAATGGAATATTTTGTATAGAAAATCCTTATAAATAAAAACTAAATCCAACAACTACCATTTAGATTATAATGCATGGGGGCCTAAATGTGAATAATATATAAGTAATTATGTATGTATTTTACAATCCAAAATTCAAATCGTAAACGAAAATTGTATTTTAAAAACAAAGCTAAACAAAACTTTAATACATAATTCAGTAAGCATTAAAACACAATAAAAGACTGGTCAACGAGGTGTTCCGCGTTTATGCAACAATTGCAACAAAAGTAAACAAAATTAAAAAATACTAAGTAAAAGGGAATTCAACTCAAAACAACTCCAAATGAAAACATTTATTCAAAAGATCCTTAGCGTATTGCATCAAATACACTAGCAAACGCATATTTGAACTAGTTAAGCTTGATCCATTCGAAGTTCAAGTTGAGCACGCGCGCTTGTAACTTATTTTTGACTGCATAAACAGTCCACTGACCCATTTTGCAAAGGCTAATATGTATTAATATATTGTTTAATACTAAACATACGTAAAGCTAACCGTAATATTAATAAAGTACGAATTTTAAGAAACGCTGAATGTGAGTCTAGAGAGTACTAACAACAACAACAAAATTAATAATAATAAAACCAACATTAACATTATATATTACTGTCTCAATTTAACAGTTAAATTATATATACAAAAAGCACAAAACTTAATACAAGACGACAGATCACAGCATAATTTCCTACACATTTTCTATAGATTTACAGCTTAGCAATAATATTGGGTAGAATTTTTGGTAAATATTAAACGAAAATGAATACAAATAATTTCTTAATATTTTTGTTTGCATAGTGCTTGGCAAATTTTTAAACTATGATTTAGGCAAAACCGACATAAATACTTAGTTAATATGAATAACTAAAAAACGACTTGTAACGTGCATGGCTGTATAGCTATATATATTGCTATACCATATTTGATTAAATGTAAACGTCTTATATAGCAATATAAGCATTGTGTGTATAGTTTAGTGAAATTAAATAGTTTAATGTTAAATAAACTCCAATGGAAAATCAAAATAACCATTATAAACACAATTAATGTATTTATATGTAAAACAGTGTATGGCAAAGGACATATTTAAATGTTGTGTATGTATTAGGAAATAAGAATTAAAAACTGATGAGTTGGAGAAGCATGCTTAGCATCTATATTAAGACTAGGCATTTTGTATTAAACGTCTAAGTTAATAGATACAGGCTGGATAAATCATCGAAATACAGTCTTTACTTGCGCATTATAAGCGTATGTTTGGTCAGCAGCAACTGGTGATTTATATAGATTTTTAAAAAGATCTTAATTTAGCTTTTTTGTGAAATGTGAGTTAGCCTCTGCATATACACACAAAATTTAAATTAGATTTAATTCAAAAGTTTCAGCACAGGTAAACTTAACATACAATTTAAATAAATATGCATGTAAATAAGTAAAATGGCATCATGAACAATGCTATCGAATTAAAAAAAAGAACTACTTGACCGCTTGTGCAAAAAATTTAAACAAAACAAACAAAAATCGTTAAGAGACGAATCCTTAGCTAATAGCAAATAGCAAAAATCTAATTGTCAGTGTTTATTATTATTGATGTGCACTTGATGTTTGCGTATTTTTACGCTTATTCTTAACGCAAACCTTTTTTTTTTGCAATCAGTGCTACTGCTACGTGAGTTGAGTTAAAAGTTACGAGTAAATGGTGACAAACGTAATTGCTTTAATTTATTTATTGTATAAAAAACATTTGGGTAAAAAAATAAATTTTTATATAATTTAACTGCAATTTTTAGAGAATTTAATTCAATTGGCATATTTTTGCCGTCATATTGTATATTCTATGAAACATATAACAATTATTATTGATCATTATTATTATTATTATGATTATTATTATGATTATTATAATGATTATTATAATGGCTTGTTTGTTGCGGCTTTTTTATCAATCTTTATACAATAATTTTATATGAAAAAGTGAAAAAAATATTTAGAAAATAATAAGAAGCATAATTAAGGCAAAATGCATAAAAATATAAACATGGCAAAATGATTAGGTAAAGCCCCATAGGAAAGAACAGATTCTTACATTTAGTATTAGTTTATTATACAAAAAACAGCAGCAAAGAAGAACAACAAACGAAAAGACAAGCCCCGACAAAAAAAAATTAAAAACGTTATTTTATTCTTGTATAAATATAAACTGAACGCATTTTCAACGTATGAAACAATATATTGTACGTAACTTGATATTTTGATGAGAATTTCTGTGAAAAAATATAGAAAAATATAAAATGGAATAAAATTGGTATTTATTTATGGGCAAAAATAAGTGGAAATATCGAGTTTGAGCTGACGCATGTCGATGTTAACACAAACAAATAAATTGTTGATGCATTTAAATAATGTTGATTTTGTCTGGGTAATGAAAAATAGCGGTAGGGGTAGGTGCATATATTTGACTTTTGTGATTGCAGGCGGCGCTGAACAAACAATTCACATCATTAGCCCCGAAGGAATGGCTTACAACAACAGCAATAAGGATAACAATAGCTGTAACATTGCAATTCATGCAATTTCGACGACCTGCATTTGCACGTGCATAAATTTTACCTTATAACACGCATGTAAATTTACATTTTTTCTGTACTAATAATTACAAATTGCCAGCTGTTGAGACCAATCAACTTTATTATCAGCTACTCACTACTGCACTTATCAAGCAGCAATTACACAGCAGATAATACTACCAAACGTTACTTAAGGTACGGTTGTTTGAAAGTTTTATGTTGACCAACCGATCAAAAATTAATTTAATACGTGCCATGGACAAGGCCAGGTTATACCCGCTTGTATCCTGAATATACATAGGTCGAATTTCCCCACCCCCATAACTCGATCAAATCTCATACGACTTAAGCGGGTTTTGCTATTTGTTCATGGCTTGACCCCCATATCAATTTGGCATCTAAATCTGGCAGCGTTAATCTTGTTTTTTGGTTTTGTCAAATTAAGCTGATTTTTTCATCGACTTTTTTAATAAGGAAAGTGCGACTCTTAAGTCTAGGTTCCCACATAATAATTTATCTTTCCACAGTTACAGGACTTTGTCTGTTCAGCCATATTCCTACGGATCGATTCTCTCTTTAATTCTAGACCTTTTGCAGAGAGAGAGCAGACGTAAAGCCCTTTATTTTTACCCGCTTCGAAGAGTTTTTGTGGTAGCATAAAGGACAAGAAAAGTTTTCATATTCTTAATTTTGTTCTGCTAACTCTCTGCTAGCAGCAAAACTTCTAATTGCGTACATGACTAGCAGACACGTTGA